AGTTCTGAGAAGTTCTTTAAAAGAAAACAAAATGTATATGATTTTTTTGGAGACAGACATGGACCTACATTTTAAATAGCACCTCCCAAAAGTTAAAATAGGGAAAGTTGCGCATGCTCAATCTATAATCATTAATTATCCTCACTTTTTTTAAGGCTTGCCCAGCCTTTTTTACCCGATTGGTGTAATTTCATCCTAAAACAGTGTCATAAGAAGCAGTAATTTTTATTTTTATTTTAGATTTAATTACCTTTTAGACCACGTAGTTTTTATCTTTTATTCCTTATAATTAAAAATGCTATATTTTAATCTTTATATATATTATTTTTATTTCTTCCAAATCATAATTTTTTTCATGTTTTATATTATTTTACATTTTTTTTTTATATTTTACATACTTCAAGTGATATTAATTTTTTTTCACGTATACTTTTATTTGACAATTAATAATTTTATTTCATAATCATAATTGTTCTTACTCTATAGATTTTAATTTTAAAATATTAAATAAGGGTATTTTAAATTTAACATATCAATATTAAATAAACTAAATTATATTTTTAGTTCTTTTATTATTGTTAATCTACAACTTTGGTCTTTATATTTTAAAATAAGAACATTAATTCCCTTTATTATTAAAAATACAAAATTTTGGTCCTACTGATATTTATTAGTTGTTAAATTTTTATATTATTTAGTAATTTATCATCATTTAAGTGATGAAATATAAAAATATAAATTTTAGAAAATAACATATAAAAAATGTTTGTATGTATATTTTAATGAGTGATCATTATTTATTATATTAATAAATTTTATTTATATATTTTTTTAAATTTTTTAATCTCTAAATGTCACATATTAAGTATGAATTCAAAATTGCACGATTAATAAATATTAATTTGAAGAAAAGACTGAAATTCTATATTTTTAAAATTAAAGGGACTAAATATCTTTATTTTAAAATTGATTAGGGACTAAAATTGTTGATTGATATAAATAAAAGAACCAAATATATAATTTAACTTATTAAATATTTTTTAAGAGATGTATAAAACTTTAAATATAAAATGTTATACTACCAAGGAGTAGTATCTATCTTTTATTATTATAGAGCTAAAAAAATAAAGTTTATAAAATTATAAAAATTAAAAGTAATATATGTTAGTATTAAAATATAGTATTTTTAATCATAAAATCTAAAAATAAAGTTGATAAAATTATAAAGACTTACAAATATATATATATTTTTTTAATATACAAGATAATGAAAGTGATTACTTACATTATATAAGTGCATGTCTATTAGTGTAAAATTTACTTTGGAGAATGAGTTATTTTATATTTTATTGTATATTTGATTTGGTTGTAAAATTATGGTGGACTAATTTAAGTCAAGTTTGATTTGACTTAACATGATGTTAGTAACTAAAATAAAATAAATTTAATTAAGAAAAATCATAGTGGAGTTTAAATAATCTAAAATCAATTTTAAACTTTTAATTGTTTATTTTCTCATTTTATATTATATTTTTTATTCGTACTTTTTAATTTAGATACTTTTGTATTGATTCTTATGCTAGTGTGTCACTAAATATTATCTTTATTTCTTTTATTGTTAAGCTTTTTAAAAATGAATGTTAGTCTCCTCAAACTGCAGTATTACTTTTTTGTTTCATTTATTTTTCAAAATCTTAATTATAAAAAATAGAAAAATTATTTTCTTGTTTCAAATACACCCTCCGCCATTTAAATTGTAGAATTGCGTGTGTGTGTGTTTTTTACATGTGAGAAATCAAACTTAATATTAACATATTTATAATAACTCACATCTTTCATCACCTTAACCAATTGAATTAGACCATTAAGTCTAAAATGATGGATTATTGTGTATTTATATTTTATAAATTTAATCTAATTTTATTTATGAAACATCTATTTATAGAAAAAAAAAATTATGATACAAAAATCAAATATTGATACTATTTTATTTTAAAAATAAGAAAATAAACTCTAAAATAATCAAAACAAGTTAAATTTAAATATTTAAAATATAAATAAAAAATTATCATCAAAATTAATTTATTCCCTTAAAAATATTTAGACATATTTCTAACATGAAATATTCCACGGATGATTAAAAAAAAAAATCTTAAAGTGACCACAGCTAATTACAATAGTACTACTACCTAATAACTCTATCCAAGAAACTCAGAATGAAAATATTACAAAGGAAATGATGAATATTTTAATTAGCTATGGAAGATTCAATTTGCGTTGAACCAAGAAATTAAATAATGTGTGTGTGGTTCTTTCCTTTATATTTCCGTATGCGCTGTTTGTACATTGATAGAATAAAGCGCCACAGGAGATAACTCACACGAGCAGCTGTAAACAGATAACTTTGTTTAACTTGAGAACACCAATGTCATATTTTACATTCTTTATTGTTACAAATTACAATTCATTTTTGGCCATGCAATGTTATAAGTTTGATTAAAATAATAATTGTCTGCATAAGTTCATTGAAGTTGAAGCTGAGGCCGAGTTGTTTATAAATTTTGGGCTTTGGTAATGGTAGCTTTTGAGAAATTTCTGAGTGGCATCAAGAGTGACCATGAGTCGCACGTACGCAATTCCAACTGCATTGTTGGTTGATTCTATGCCTCAAAAACTGGTATTAGAATTTAGAACACGATGCGTCCTTTAGGAAAATGTGCATCTCAGGAATATCAAGGTCACACGGACGTCTATCATAAAAAATTAAATTACCTTTGAATAAGAGTTATTCTCTCCCCCAAAATCAAAATGCTTGCAACTTACCATTAATTAAGTGTTGATACGAACTCGATAAAAGAGTGATTTAGAGGCTTTTCCTAACCGTTAATTACATGCAGTAAAAATACAGAGATTTAGTGAATTTTCCTAACCGTTAACTACATGGAGTAAAAATACAAAGTCTTTTTACGATATTTGTTTGAAGTGATATTTATATCAAGACAAATACTATGACTTTATTAATTTTTATGATTATTTTAAATAAAAGATCTTTCAATTATTAGAGTATATGTATGTTTTATAAATTATTTTTTTTCTTATTTTATCGATATGAGACCTTATTTATATTTTAATAGTAAGTTATTAGTTGTCACTTATATAATAATAATATTTTGGTTAAAATCCTAATTTGGTCCTTTATAATAATTTTTTGTTTCAATTTAGTCTTACTTTAATTTGTTTTAATTTGGTCCCTAATAATTTAAATTAGTGTAATGTCAGACTTCCATCCAAATTATTTAAACGGAGTTAACGGTTGGTCACGTGGATGCCAGGTGGATGCCACGTAGATGCATAGGTGGATGCCAAATTTCTTTAATGCACCTAGAACCAGAATGAGCCATTCTGATTTTAGAAAACCATTCTAGATTCAGAACGGGCCACTCCAGAACACCAATCACATACGTACGTTCAACAAAATGCCGCAATGTGGTTCAAAAATTGAAAATAAAAATTCATAACATAACATAAATTCAAAGACAAAAATATGGTTCAGAGACTGAAAACAAAAATTTATAACATAACATATACTAAGAAAGTTCAAAGAAATTACTGAGAAGGAAAATCATCTAGATAACGCTGAAGGTGCCAATAATACATCTTATCCACCATATAACACAGAATGGCTGACAGGATATCAACATTATCTACTTGTACATGTAGTTGTGTGGTGAAATGTTGGTCATATGTGTCCTCTTCCTCTACTTCAGGTTGTACCTCCTTAAGAACAGATTGTTGTTGGGGTACATCGGTCAATGACTTCAAGGAAAAACAACATGTTGTTTCATCCTTGACTGTATAGTGTCAATTTGGTAGTAAGTGATACACCTTAATGATACACTGTATAGCCCAAATATTTAGCAATTGAAGTTATTAATCCTCATTGACAATATTACCAAATCTAGTGTTTGAAATGCTTTAAACCTTGGGTCTATTTCCTTGAACGATTCACAATAGTGATTTAGAATCACGGGCGAGAACTATAATCATCGACCGTTTGTGTTTGGCATTCTAGAACCAGAACGGTCCGTTCTGAAACCAGAACGGCCCGTTCTGGTCCTAGATGTATTAAAAAACTGGTCCTAGATGTATTAAAAAAATTTAGCATCCACCTATGCATCTACGTGGCATCCACCTATGCATCTACGTGGCATCCACCTATGCATCTACGTGACATCCACCTATGCATCTACGTGACATCCACCTGACATCCACGTGACATCCAGTTAACTCCGTTTAAATAATTTGGACGAAAATCCGACATTGCACTAATTTAAATTATTAGAGACCAAATTGAGACAAAAATCTAAAGTGCGACTAAATTGAAACAAAAAAATATTATAAGGGACTAAATTAGATTTTTAAACTAATATTTTCTATCAATATTGATTGAGACAAATGATAGTCATTAATGTCTATTAATCAAATGTTTTATAGTTTCAAATCTTAACATTTGATATGAAATAAATTATTTTAGTTTTAGGAGTGGATAATCTTCGATAGAGATTAGTTGTTGTTTCAAACAAGAAATTCTCGGTACTAATATCATCATTATCCAAATAAATAATATTACTTTCTATAACTTTATATTTTCTCTCTATTTACATCACACCACTCATCTTATTCCCTACTGCTCTCTTGTCTTCTTATCTTTCTCATGATTGTAAAAGAAAATTATACGATATATTGATGTACAAATATGATTTGTCAAATAAAAGTATGAAGAAATTAATACTTCAATTCAATGATTGTTTCGTTAGACAAAATTTAAGAACTGTTTGTTAATTCTGTGCTTGAAAAGTTTCTTTCTAATCGTAATGAAAATTAACAGCTACCTACATTTTTCTGTCACGGCCTCATGATTGTTTTATAGCCCTGTTATAGTTTTTTCTAGCAGCTGCTTTATTTTCAGGATTTTACGATAGGAGTTCATCGGGGATAAGGAATCAACAGACAATAACATTTATCCAATATATTTATACAAAAACATTACACCCGTATCAACATAAAATGATATTGATTTAATCACCACATATTTAACCAAACTATCTATAACCTATCTAGCACAAAGAAAAAGAAACTAAATATTATAAGACACAAACTTGAGAAACACTGAACAAGATCATGGTCCTGCATATCAGAAAGTCCCAAGACTTAGCCTAGTTTCTTACCACTCATCATCATCGTGGTAAACTCATTCAAGTCTATGAAACCATCTCCATTCCCATCCACCCCTTTGACCATCTTTTTACATGCACTAAGGCTGCAACTCTCTCCTAGCCTTTTCAGAACTTGTGACAACTCCTCAGCACTGATCTTCCCATCACCGTTCAAATCAAACACTTGAAAAGCATTCTTGATCTCGGTTTCCTTTATCCTACCCTCTCCATTGAACATTTCCATGAACTCTTTGAAGTCAATGAAGCCATCTCCATCAGTGTCCATGGCCCTAAAAGCCTTGACTGCTTCAGCGTCCCCAATGCCCCTATCTAAGGCCCTTGCAGCAGCCTTGTACTCTTCAAGAGAAACCTTGCCATCTTTGTTGGCGTCAAATTTATGGAACACCCATCTCATTTCCTCTTCTTTTGGCTGGAAACTTTGTCCTGCATTCGATGTCTGTCTTGATGTGAAGCTGTTCTTCTTGGCTACATTCTTGCGTGAAGAGAAAGAGGGCTTCCATGAGAAGCTATTGAACTTGAGGAAACTCATATTCGACATGTGTGTATGGTTTGTTTTGGGATACACAAATATTAGGCTTTAGTATGGTTATGAATTATGAAGGCTACTAAATCATGGCTTGTTTATATAGATATGATAAGATTCCTCCTTTGGATTACCTCAAGGCTCAAGAGAGATATGCTTTAAAGGAAAAGTAGTAGAATCTGAATAAAGATTGGTTCTAGAACCTAGCTAGAGTTTAAACTGAAGTTGATATGCGCTTTGTGCTCCTCACTCACTCAAGCTGTTTAATAAGAAATACTAGTTTAGTGAAATTAGAACATTGTTTGTGACTTTGTGTACGGGGTTGATTAGATTCACTTAATTAGCATGGCGGGTTAGGTTGCAATGCGCATCACTGATAAACGATTCCTTCATGTCTTTTTGCAAAACCGTGTATTCACCACCACAACCCACTCAGAGTTGAATGAATCCTATTCCTTTCTCACATGTTTTGACGAATAGGAAAAAAAACTAACTTATGCCTTGCGGATGCGGTGTATTGGTGGGAGGAGAAAAATGATAGGCATAGATGAAATAAAATAAACCTTCAATTTCATCCTTAAAGTATTATTTTGAATAATTCATGATAAGCCATTTGAGTTGCTTCACATAATAACTCACTAATAAGCGAGTCTTACTTCATTGCTCTCCAATGATATAAAAGCTCTATTTTAGTTGTTACCTACTGTTGAAATTAGGAGAGAAAATTCCAATAGAGTTGTTCTAAAAAAATATTACTAATTAAGAAAGTGAATAAAATGTTGAATCATTGTTCAGAGATATTCAATTAACTTTCGAAAGGCTTAAAATATATACCACCTTGCAATATAGAAATGAATATTAAAAAAAAAAAAAAAATACTACCTTGCAAGTGCTAACTACTATTCTTCTTTTAGTACAACACTATGGGCTGGTTATTGATTCTTAATTTCGTTCCTTTGATTGGAAATGAAAAAGTATACCACTTATTTTCACATGATAATATTTTAAAATTTGGATTACCTAGGTGAGACTATGAAGTAACATATTCTGGATTTGAACTATGCTACTTGATTTGTCTATAGATGAAATACATGTTGTGTCCTTGAGAATGTATTTTGCTTTCGTTGCGCCACTCCACGCAGGTTGAGTAAATTTTACTCTGTTTTTTTTATTACCCTCGTACAAAGTCGACACTAGATGACACTAACGAGATCAGAAGCTCACCAAGATATTCTCCTTACCACTGGCCAAACCATATGCAATTGAAAACTTTCTCGAGTATATGAAGTGACCTTTTCATTGAGCCAACAAGTTGTGTACCTACAACTACAAATATTAGAGGTAAAGCTTGACACTGACAAATAACAGCAAAGTTGTAGAGCATGATCGGCAAATCTTATAATTTATCATATTTATTTATAAATTAAATTTTAAAATAAATTATCATAATAAAAATTATTTATCGTAAATGGAAAATATTATTTATTTGATCAAATATATTTATTTATTATAATTTTTTAATTTTAATTTTAATTTATATATTCAAAAGTATTTATTTATTATAAATTTTAATTATCCTAAAAATATTATTAACTTCAGTTATATAAATAGAATTTATCCTATATATTGCACAGGTTAAAATATTAGTGTTTATATTAAAAATACTTGATCAATAAACACTAATCAAGTTGTTTACATACCAGGTCCTATTTTATTTGCCACACAACAGCACTTGATGTTTGGGCTGCAGTAAGCCCATACAACAACCACAGTTTTTAAAAACAGAAATGGGCAATTCCACATCATAGTAAGAGACAAGGTTTATGATAGCTTGTAGAGTTGGCCACACTTTAGTAGATTAGAGTGTAGAGCTATTAGTGCGTTCTTATTTATATCTTGCATAATAGGAGTAAATTGGCAGTTTCAGATAGTAAGACGATTAAATTAGAAATTTGTGGAATAAAATTAAAAAGGCTTACAAACAAATACATGTCTTTTAAGTGAAGGGAAAAGAAAGGATAAAGTTACACAACCTACGTGTTTTGAATATCTATCTATACTAATATATAAATACCCTTTTAATAACCACTTTAATCTTTACATTTAATAAATCATTATATATTTTTTATTATTTTTAAAAAAATTAATTTTTTTTTATCAAACTTAAGACGTTGAAGTTTAAAGACAAATTACAACATCAATTGAACCAAAATATTTTTATTATTTAATATCAATTTTATTTTATTTTTAATAGATGCACAAATATCTCAATCCCATTAGTTATTAATATATAAAGAAATTACCTCCTATAGTAATTACTCTAATCTCGATATTTATCGAAACATACCCTTCAGTTATCAAGAAAAATAAAAATATCAACCACTCACTCTATTATATTTTATTTCATTTTTTTTTAATTTTTAAATTATATAAAGAGCATACCTCATATAGTAATTACCTTTGATCTTCATATTGGACCATTATACTCTTTGGTTATTAAGAAAAATAAAAAAAAATCAAGTTTTTTTTTTTAAAATATCTACCATTCTCTTTAATAATCAGTCACTTCATTATCTTTTATTTTATTTTATTTTTTAAATAAATATCTCGTGCCTCTTTCTCCTAGTTTAGTATGGATAAAAAATAATACGTGTTTAGAATATTGGTTGGGACTCAACTCGTACTGTGAAAACATCAGTAGATTAGTGTGTTTGATAACACTTTTCAGTCAACTAAAAGCTTATTTTATTTGTTGAAAAGCTTATTTAAGTAAAAATCTAGTTTGGTAAAATAACTTGTTTTAGTAATTTATAGTGTTTTCTAACATTCTAGTTTTCCTAACATGTTTTAGTTTGTCAATTTTTATCTTTAATCTTTTTTCATAATCCTTTTTCGTTATCCGTTTATTTTAAAAGGTATATGATTTTCCTTTTTCATGTAAAAAAAAAAAATCCTCATATCTGTTTCTCTACGATGTTCACTAAATTCACGGACCCAAATGTTTGGGTTTACATGGAACCCAAAGGACCCAAGAGCCCAGACCAAAAAACACGCATGCTAGATGCAAGTAGCCCGTACCAAGAATTTTCATGCGACCAGCAAAAGATTCTCTAAATTCACATAAGCCTAAATGAAAAGGCTATTGCTACGGTGCCCTTTTACGTGAGGGGGTTGTTGTGCCCCCCTTATGTTAGGACCAACCACAGATTGACATGTGACATTTATGAGCTAACTCATTGCTGACTGGTAAAGGGCTATTTTAAAACTTTGACATTTGGTCAAATGGACAAATGGGTAATTTCATCGAAGATCATCAACGTAATTTTCATTTAATTGAATGTATCGATGAGAAGTTTGTGTGATTTTTTAACTCCGTTTGGAACCCTAAAATTGGACTTCTCCGACGAGGTCATTGGCAGACATGCCTTCTACGAGGAGGTGGTTGGCAGTGTCTTTTTTGAAACTCGTTTTGGAAGCCTAAAATTGGCCTTTTCCTCTGAGGTCTTTCGAGTGTCATTTTTGAACCCCGTATCTAAACTGTAAAATTCGCGTTTTCCAGCGAGGTTGTTGCGACTGTCATTTTTGAACCCGTTTTGGGAACCGTAAAATTTGGCTTCTGGTACGATGAGGTATGTGTGTTGGACAAAAGTCTGTCAACTTGTCCAACGAAGGAAGTTCGTTTGTGCTTCCTAAAGCCTAATGTTGGCCGACAACGTAAGTCATTTTTTGGGAAAAAAAAAAAGTCCTAATTATTCCGACTAATCTGTCTTGTTTTGTCACGAAGCAAGTGACGACAGCCGTGGGTTCGGTGTGTGTGGCTTATTGTCTATGAAACGATTTAAGTGTCACCTTTGAGAAAGCTTAACCTGAGTTGTGATACTAAAAACAGAGTTTGGTATATGATTTGGTTTGTTTGGTGTATTTTTTAAGTGTGTTGATAATGGTTTTTGGTAGTTTCAAATTTGGTGATTTTTCATGCGTTTAGCAACAAATTGGTGTTTTCATAGGTAAATCTGGGTTGGCGGTTTATACTCTTCATTTTGGTAAGTTGGTGTTTTACGGTTTTTGATTAGTTTAGCATCGGATTTGAGTTTTGTTAGGTTCTGTGGTTGACGATTGTACTACATGGTATAATACGTGTTGGATGCATAATTAGTTAGTGTTTTTATTTTTCCATAAGTTGATGTTGTTAAGTAATTTGTTAGAAGGATTTAAGTTGAATAATGGTTTTTAATCTTTGACAGGGAAATATAAAGATTAAGTATGAATGAAATATAAGTATTTTTTGAAGCATATTAGAAGATATAGATGTGGTGTATTTGGAAATTTTGATATTAATTGTTAGTAGAATAAGGGCTACATTATTGTGTTACAGGATTAAGTATTGTATTTATGTTATATTAGATGGAAAAATAGAATTGTTGAGTAGTGTGTTATATAGTTTGAGTTTTTTCTGAGATTTGAGGAATGAGAGATAGTTTACGTTGAATTGAGATAAATGGAATGCATTTACCCGAAATGTTTATGAAGAAATAGAATGATAAATTGTTATTGCAGGAGGTATGGTATGAATTGGATTGACAGATTTGAAGTTGGACCCAATGTGACTCATAAGATATGGTTGACAAATTTTGTTAAAAAAAATAGTAAAAACGTGTTTATTGAAGAGGAATGTTAAATGTATTGTGATTTCATTGTATATGAATGTTGTTAGATTTGTTTGTGGCATATTATTTGTTATATGAGGCATAATGATGTGGAATAATGTGGATTAACAGTTAACTAATTTGTTTTGTTTGCAATGGTAGAAGGATGGATAAATGTTGATACATGACATAATATAATGTATAAGATAATTTTAATAACAATATGATTTGTGGACGTTGTGGTAAACAGACATTGTGATATGGGTGCGAACAAGGGCAATCGGTTGAAATTTGTTACAGATTAAACTAATTGATAAGTTGCAAATGGAGGTGCAGTGATGTGCAATTGATACAATTGATATTAGTCCAACAAGTGATGTTGGTGAGCCAATTGTGCTTAAGAGATTAGGTGGTCCAGTCCAGGTGGATGAAAATTAGAATAACAATAAATGACTTAAAGCAAGTTTACAAAATTTGGTTATTTAATTATTACAATAGATGGCCCAGGCCCAGTGAAGAAAGGGGAACAATTAAATTTAATTTGAGTAATATTATGGAAACATGTTTTATTAGGAAGTTTCACTTCCAATATTTGGAGAAAATAATATGATTTTAGGGTTTAAAAAGATATTGGTAAATTAAGTAATGAGAGAATGCAAATAATAAATTTGTATTAATGTCAAAAATTGTATATCCTGTGAAATAACATTATCAAAGTCAGTGTGAATGATGTAAAATTATGTTACATTGTAAAATAATAATGAAAATAGTAATGAAAAATAATTGTATTGAAAGGTGTGAACATTATAAAGATAGTTTTGTGAGGGTTTTTATTAGATTTGTAAGTTAGTAAAATGCCATTAGGCACTAGAGGGTTGGCAGTTGGCACACATGAATTATGAAAATACGACAAAAATCATAATAAACATGTTTTGAGTAATTTTATTCCTTAAAGAGTAATCTATTTTCGGCGTTTGCCTGTAGCGTTGATGAGTAATGAATGTTGAGGACTTTAAGTTGTAAAATTAATAACAATATGAATAGTAGAGTTCAATTGGAAGGAAGTATATGTTTAGAAAATGGTTTGAAATACCATTAATGACCTTTGGCATTTTCCAACCCTTAACATGGATTTTAGAATTGTAATCGAAACACAATTAGTAAAAAGGGAACTTAAACAATAATAATGATACAAGCGATGTTCATAAGATAAGATAAATTAAAGTTAAATAACCGTCAATGTGGAACTCAAATAGTTATAATGATATAGGTCATATTCATAAGAGAACATAAATGTAAGTTTTTGACAGTAGTAAAATAAAATAAAATAACCTTGGTGATTTATCTTGTGGACTTGGATAACTAAATTGTTTGGGTTGAGAACCTTCTATAAATTCATGTCGTTTCCTTCTTTAAACCCTTGTTGTTTGAAGAACTTTGTGCATGTTGTTGTTAGGTAGTACTCAAATGTATAAATTCATGTCGTTTCCTTCTTTAAACCCTTCTATTGATTTGTGCATGTTGTCATTACTATTTTCATTATTATTTTATAATGTAACGTAATTTTACATCATTCACACTGACTTTAGGAACATTATTTCACAAGATATACAATTTTTGACATTAATACAAATTTATTATTTGCATTCTCTCATTACTTAATTTACCAATATCTTTTTAAACCCTAAAATTATATTATTTTCTCCTAACATTGGAAGTGAAACTTCCTAATAAGACATGTTTCCATAATATTACTCAAATTAAATTTAATTGTTCCCCTTTTTTCACTAGGCCTGGGCCATTTACTGTAATAATTAAATAACCAAATTTCGTAAACTTGCTTTAAGTCATTTACTGTTATTCTAATTTTCGTCCACCGCGACTAGACCACCTAATCTCTATAGCACAATCGGCTCACAAACATCACTTGTTGGACTAATATCAATTGTATTAGCTGCACATTATTGCACCTCCATTTGCAACTTATCAATCAGTTTAATCTGTAACAAATTTCAACCAATTGCCCTTTTTCACACCCTTATCACAATGTCTGTTTACCACAACATCCACAAATCATACTGTCATTAAAATTATCTTATACATTATATTATGTCATGTATCAACATTTATCCATCCTTCTACCATTGCAAACAAAACAAATTAGTTAAGCATCAATTCACATTATTCCACATCATTATGCCTCGTATAATAAACAATATGTCGCAAACAAATCTAACAACATTCATATACAATGAAATCACAATACATTTAACATTCCTCTTCAATAAACACGTTTTCACTACTTTTTTTCACAAAATTTGTCAACCATATCTTATGAGTCACATTGGGTCCAATTTCAAATCTGTCAATCCAATTCATACCATACCTCCTGCACTAACAATTTATCATTCTATTTCTTCATAAACACTTCGGGTAAATGGATTCCATTTATCTCAATTCAATGTAAACTATCTCTCATTCCTCAAATCTAAAAAAAAACTCAAACCATATAAGTTATAACACACTACACAACAATTCTATTTTTCCATCTAATATAACATAAATACAATACTTAATCCTGTAACACAATAATGTAGCCCTTATTCTACTAACAATTAATACCAAAATTTCCAAATACACCACATCGATATCTTCTAATATGCTTCAAAAAATACTTATATCTCATTCATACTAAATCTTAATATTTCCCTGTCAAAGATTAAAAACCATTATTCAACTTCAATCCTTCTAACAAATTACTTAACAACATCAACTTATGGAAAAAATAAAAACACTAACTAATTATGCATCCAACGCGTATTATACCATGTAGTACAATCATCAACCACAAAAAATGCTTAGTAGATACATGAGAAGTTTCCTTTTAAATTTTACTTTGAGTTTGGCATTACATCTCATTTTTAAATTTCTCCCAAAAACACAATTACTAAAGTTGTTCCCGTTAATCTTTTCATAGACTCGGAAAGAGAAATTTGGCCCTCAATTGCTTCCTACAATCAAATACCCTTTTACAATAATATATGACCCTTACCTTCCCAAAAAATAAATACCAAGAAGTTTGTCATTCCAACCAAATTTCTGTATTTTAATTTTAAACAACCAATAGAAGATGTAATCCAACATAAAAATCTACAAGTGCAAAAATAACAATTTAAAAAAAAAAAAAACTTGGCAGTATATTTTCTTTATAGCAGTACTCACAGAATATTCAAAGGAATGATGAGAGGGCTTCAAGTCTACAACCATCTATGGATGCAAGCGATCAAATTCTTTGCTTTCTTCAAGAGACAGCAAAGACTAAACATCTTCATAAAATGTCAAGAATCTGCAATGTGTTTAACATATCAATTTATAAGACCAATTAAAGAACCAAAAATAGACATTTATACAATTATAACTAACTGTAAAGGAGTTAATAAAAAACAAAAATAAAAGAGTGTTTCATCCAATCGAACAACATAAAAGGCCAACTTCCTTGCTCTGAGAAGAAACTCATATACTGATATACATAAATAAACATCAACCAATTCAGAGTGAGATGAATGCCATGTGATGCTCGCACAGTGAAACACAACTGACAAGACTTAGCAAGCAAACTTACTTGCATAGGCATCTCTTGCATGACAATATTGCTGCTTTCTTCAATACTTTTTAGAGTTACCACTTCCCCACCAACAACCATATTAATGACAAATCCATCTGCACATTGGTGACGAATCTTAATTAGCAAAAACGCAAAAATACAAACTATAACTTAACAAACTACAGAACTAGGCACCAAAGAAAGGACCAGCTGTTAAACAAGTTGCCAATCGCCTTCCGTATGTCTCCTGCAGGAAACACTAAAAATGATGAGTAAAAATAGGAAGAAACAACACAATTAAAGACACATGGTTGCCAATTTCACAGCACATAAACAACTAAACCAGCATTCTCCAATAAGAAAGAAAAATTATAGGGCATGTTTCAATAAACTTCTCATGTTTTCAATAAGCATAAGCTAATTTGTAGAAACACTCTCATTTTAGCTTCTCCAAAACATGTTTTCTTAACTTATAGGGCATGTTTCAATAAACTTCTCCAATCCAAAAGCTCTTGTATAGGAGAAGAAAATAGAAAAGAAAAATAAAATTAGTTTCTCTCATATCATGCATAAATTAGTTTTAGCTTATAGAAAATTTTATTTCTTATTTTTACTTTTTTTTTCTAAAAGTATTTTTGAAAATTTTATCCAACTAGACTCTATGCATAAGTTATTTTGTAAAAATTATCTGGTATTAACTTATGAAGAAGCTAAGTTCATTTCCATTCTTATTTTCTTCTCTTAAAGTGCTTCCTCAAAAGTTTATCCACGTATTCATGAGCCACTTTTATAGCTTATACAGTAGAGCGTTTCATTTTTTCTTCACTTATAAGCGGTCACAGATAAGTTTATTCAAACAAGACTTATAACACATTAGAATGCAAACAGTGATGGTAAATATCAACCACAGAAATTAAAATTTAAAAAAGAGAAGAGAAAAGAGCAAGACCTTCTTTGCCGGTAATTCATAGTTGATGAGAAGATGAGCGTTCAGAGGAAGTTCTCCGGAAGCAAGGAGAGGGAGGCAAGCGTCGGTTACAATGATCATATGAGATCTCTCATCTTTGCCTGCCTCGTCCTCGTTTGGTGCTCCACCGTGATTCATCTGATTCCACCTCGCGGTTACCTGTCGAAACTTCTCCAATACGAAAGCGCGTTCATCTTCGGCGAGGTCACTGTACTGACACGTGGAAAACGGAAACGGAGAAAACAACAACAAATTAGCAAAGAAACGCGGCAATTACGGGAAGAAAAAGATTCAGCGATGTACCAAAGCGGAGGAGGAAAGGAAGGGGAGAGCGGAGAGGGAGGAGCAGAGAGAGTCGAGGTCGTCGCGCGTGCTGCAACAGACGACGATCGGCAAGCATGGACGTCGAGCCACCAGATCCACGAGTTCAACCACCGTTTGCTGCAAATAATCAATCGAAATTTGAAACCGAAACGGTTATGCGAATGAGAAGGTGTGAGAGAGAGGAATACCATTTTGAACTGAAGGCGATCGACGGCGAGGTAGAAATGGCGCGGGTGGCTGAAAATGAAGGAGTGAATAAAAATGAAAGAAGAAGAGAGGAAGGAGAGTGAAAAGAAGAGTACCCACCCGGATGGTCCGGTCTGAAACGGTGGAGACGAAGCATAAACGCTATCGATGGCCATCCTATTCCTAATCCTAGAAGATGCTTCACCCTTCACTCCAACCGTTTGCCAAACCTCATTGAAGCCTTAGCGTCATGGCTGTCTCCGTAAAATTCATTTTTAACCAAATTAATTTTGTAAAATTTATTTTCCAGTGAATTCATCTATTCCTATTTTCAAAGTTCAATTGAAATCTTGTCAAAGAAAAAAGTTTAACTAAAATGAATTTGGGTATAAACACCTAGTTCCATTCTGAACATCATTGTAATTTTTTTAGTGACAAGAAAATCTAAATTAAATTTTTAATTTAGAATTTAATTTTAAAATAAAATCAAATATATAAACATTTACTTAAAATAAAATTTGTCAATATTTTAACATTATGAAATAATTAGTCAAAGGGTCTCTATATTTTATTCAATAAAAATATTTAAAAATTATCAATATTTATTTGATTAATTGGTGTTATATTTAGTTCTTAAATCTTAAATTCTTGAGTTTGAGTCTTATCTTTATAAGAATGATTAATTTTTAATATTATTTTTTATTATTTAAAATTTAAAGATAAAATTATTTTAAAAAATGAACACAACAAATTAAATTATCACCTTTACATATGTTACAGATATATATATTTTTAATATTGAATGCTAACATAACTACATATTTAGAATTTGAACTTGTAATTATTGATTATACTATAAGTCATTAATGAGATTGAGATATTTTGTGTCTCTATTTGTTTAAAAATGTTAAAAAATTTATAAATAATTGTTTAATCAAATGGTATTGTCTTTAATCTTCCAATTTTAACATTAATTTTTATTATTTAAAATTTAAGGATAAAATAGTTCAAAAATTGTGTACATAAAAATAAAAAATTACTTTTATATATACCTATAAATAAATTTGTAAAAAAATATAAGATATAAAAATATTTTGTAACTAATCTTCGTATTAAGTGATTTTAGATAGATGATTAATACATACATTATTGTTAATTAAAAATTATTAGAAACTATTCTTATTAATGTTAAACTCAACATGTAACCAAACATTTTGACCGATTTTAAGGCTCATTTACTTGATATTCTTAAAATTGATTTTTATTAATATTAAAATAATATTTTACTAATAAAAATCATGTATTGTAAATGGATATTAATCTTCAATTATTAACTTAAATTTTATGATAATTATTAAATTTAATTATATTTAGTGATAAATTAAAATATTCAAATTCATGTTATTTACTATATAATTTTGATAATTACAAATTGTTTTTAATAATTTAACTATTAAGTAGTAACGTTTTCTTGAGAAAATTGAACATTAAATATTACATTATAACTTACACACAAACTTATTTTTTAAAAGACAAAGCTATTCTAATTTTTTTTCATCATGCTAAAGATCTAATATTATAATTATTTTTTGCTTAATAAACCCGTTTTCAATTCTATCGAGATCAACATTGGTAAAATTAGTTACTTTAAAATATATTTCACGAATAATAATATTATAAGTAACTTATAAATATGTAGTTATACTTAAAATAATTTATAATATTTTATTTTAATTCATAACTAAAGATAAAAAAAAATATTAAATTAAGTTGTTTTTTTGGTAAGAATTATTTTTTTACTATGTTATACTGTTGGAATAAGGCTTTTTGACCAAAGTGGGGTCGTTGATCAAGTTATATACGTAAATGGGGCTGTTTTGAATTTATTTACGCCTTTGAGACTGTTTACAACGGTGTCGCTATGACCCATAGTGACACCCATGCCACGTGGCTTTTTTTTTTTGCGTAGGGATGGCTGGAATGAGCCACAACAATGTCGCTATGAGCTGGACCAACACAGTTTGTGAGCCAACAAAGATGGTATAGCCCATAGCGACACCATTTAAGAAAAAAAATGAAAAAAACTAAAATAATTTAAATGTAACCTTAAAATAATCAACTGAGTATACTTATTATATAGTTATAAAAATAAAAAATATTTATTTAAAAATGTAATTTTAAAAAATAGATTTAATTATTTATGTAAGTGGTGCTGTGGCCTATAGCGACACAGAGTCGCTGTG